CACCTCCCAGCCTGCTTGGGCTTTCCAGCACTGCCGTGCCCTGTGCCAGAGCCTGGGCTCACCCTGCACCAGTGAGCCCAGCACTGAGGGCCGTGTGCTGAGCGTGGTCCTGGGCACAGCTGTGGCCTGGGACTCCCGCAGCCAGTCCTGGGCATGGTCTGACAGTCAGCACGAGCGAGGGACCAGTATCAGCAGCCTGTTTGGACGTGCCCTCCCTGTTCTCTTCATGGCTGAGACTTTTAACAGGACAGCGGTGGCCAGACTGGGCTGGTTGGCCGTGCCCTGGTTAATTTTTTAGGAGCCATGAAGCCTCTTCCAGCCACAGCTCCTCCCCTGGCATGTTCTCCCCTTCCTGTCCCCATCCTGGTGCCAGCCAGTTTAGTATGTTAGTCATCACATCAGCAAGATCCCTTCTCAGTTGCTCTGGGTGTGTTTTGCCCACTTGCAGGCAATCTGAGCAGGCCACTCTCTTCTTTGCCAGCCTGAGCCGGGTTATGGTCTCTTGCCACTCAAGACCAGTGTAATGTGGCAGCCTCTAGAAGACTTGTTGATGACTAAGTGTTTTATTTTATACACTTAAAGTCAGCTGCTTTAATTTGCTTGTTCTCCAAGGCTCTGTGTACAACTGCTGGTGAGGTCACCACAGTGAGCCAAACCAGTGCAGCATCAAACAGCTCCTCTTGGAACTACTGGCTCCTGAGTCTCTGACCGGTGGGAGGCTGGTTTGCAGAGCAGCTCCATGGAAAGTCTGTGTAATGTGTTTGATTATCCAACCTTGCCATTTTCGAAGGGACCCAGTCAAGATTAACAGGGCCTAAATGTACCATCTCCTAAAAATAACTCTGGCTTTCCAGCTCCTCTGCTGATGTTGGGAGTGGGAGAAAAAAAGTGACGCTCCAAACTGAGGACTGCAAAGAAATGTCAAGTGCACGTGGCCAAACCCGGCCCTTGACAGGCCTGGAGAATGGGTGCTCTTCCATCAGTGCTCAGGTTCCTTCACTTCGGGGTCCCCAGGCTCTCCCACGGGACTCTTTTCTTTCAGGGCCACGCTGGTATGGTTGTTTCCTTGCTGTTGTATCCACTGGAGTCAGCTCCAGGTTTGGGAAGTGTACGGTCCCAGAGTCCTTGGAGGCCCGGTGTGTTCTCAGCTGCTCTGAAGGCAGCCCTTCATCTTTTCCAAGCTGCATGGAGTCAGCAGTGCTGCCATGTAACCCAGGGGCTGAAGCTCTTGTCCGGGCAGAGCAGGATCAGCAGCTGCTGTTAAAAGGCCCAGAATCTCTCCTGTGAGTGGGTGTTATTCACTTGGTTATACCAGTCTATTCCAGCTGAGGATCTGTCCCTTTGTTTTGTGCATGGGACAATTTGTTTTCAATTTTTGTTTCTGAAAGGAAACTGTCAAGACAAAATTCACACTTAAAAAAATTAAGGGAAACAGCCCTTTGTCCGTTTCTAACAATCCCCTTCGATGACTAAAGCTGGAAGAATTCTAGAAACTGCAGTAATTTTCTACCTTTGCTTTGGTTTTGTGTTGCTCCCGCATTTTCTGAGTTTCAGATCCAACACACCAAAAACACCAGAGGCCCAAATCGCCCTGTTAGGACCAGTGTAACCCAGAGATGTGTGCTCTGATGATCAGAATCTGGTTGTGCTTTATCTAGAAGTGGAACTGGGGCAGCAGGGAGCCCAGAGCAGCTTGGGCAGGATTCCCTCTTCTTGTAGCACACAGCCTCGTGCTGCCTTTGCGATCCAAGAGGGAACATGTAAAGCCTCCATGAAGGGTGTTCCCTGGAGCAGCACACACCCATCCTCACTGGTTCTGCCAATGACCCAATGCAAGTAAAATAAAATCGAGGGTGGCACAGCCTGCTCAGGCACCAATCTGCAACATCCCCAGCCTTCCTGTGCCCTGGGTGTGCTCAGCCTGCTCCTGGTGGGGTCCTGGCTGCCAGGGAGGTTGTGGTCTCCCTTGGGCAGGGGCTCCTCAGATTTCCTTCCATGATGGTACAGCAGCCAGTGCTGCAGGGACCTGGTCCTTGCCTGGGGCTCCTTCCAACTACAAAGACTTGTTTATTGTCAATCCAAGAACAAAAAAAAAAAAAAGAACTTTTGAAAATAATAACAACAGCATGCATCTCATTTTCATTTTAGTCCTAAAAACTACTTGATGCTCATTACAAAGGAATTGATTCCTTAAATGAATGAAGCAGCCGTGAGTGCTGCTTTCAGTGTGGGACTGCTGACGCTCTGACTCATGCTCTGCTTCTCACAGGCTCTGGCTTTTATGCTTCATTTAGGACACCAACGTCATTAGCATTCAGAGGGCTGCTGCCTTTTTTTTTAATTATTATTATACTGCTGTTATAACTTCTTCAAAGATGCAAATAATATTTGGATCCAAATCACAGCTCGTGTTTTGTTACCAAATCAGGGCACAGGGTTTGTTTTCCACTGACTTGCAAGCCCTGGAAGAAATTCTAACTGAAAATAAGGTGTGGCTTTGTACAGTTCTGAGGCGGTTTCCGGGATTTTGGGATGGCAGGTTGACTGGCTACTGTGGAAAACCATCCCCTGTGGGATGGGTGAGGGTATTGGTATTGTGTTGTACTGTATTGTGTGAGTCCCCAAGCCTCAGAGTGCCCACCCCAGCTGTGTGTGTGTCCCTGGAGATGGCAAATGTGAACAGCTCCAAACACGATGCTTTGCTCCAGAGATCCCTGTGCTGCCACTCACATCCCACCTCACAGCGTTTCAGAGACACTCAACCACTTTGTTCCTCAGAGCCTGTAATCAGGAACTGGGGAAAGGATCCCTTGCTGAGGGATGTGATGTGATGTTTTTATTGCAAGGGGAGGGGGGGGAAACGAGAAGAAAAGCCCTGAGAGTTCTCACAGGGCTTCCCTGCTCTGCCACAAACTCCTGGAAGCCCTCGGACATGTCACAAAGTCCCTCTCAAGGACAACAGCTTGCAGGGATACTTGCAAGCCCACCATGGGATGGGGCCCACCCCAGCTCTCTACAGAGAGAGTTTATGGGGAAACAACAGAGTAGAATTGTGGGAATCTGCCTGTACTTTCTGTTGGGTTCCCTGCCATGAAATTCAAAGTACTGATCCAATAAAAGGGAAATGTTGCTCCTTGCCCAAATGACATGCTGGGCTGGGCTGGGCTGGGCTTTGGAGGAGGACTTGTGAATGAGGGTTGAAAATTCCCAGCCAAATACCTGGCACCTTTTTAGTTGAAAATGTATAGATCTTTCTCAGATATTACTTAAGCTGAAAGTTGTTGAGAAATCAGTAGTAATTCCCTCATTAAAATCCAAGCTTTATTAATTAATTAAAAGCAACTGCTTCTGCAGATGGACATGAGCTCTTCCACAGGGACCTGGGTGCTGTGGCTGAGCAGCTCTGAGTGCCCTGGGGAGCTGAGTGCCCCAGGGATCGTGGGTTATGACACAGGAGTGTGGGACGTGCAGGGTCCATCAGCCCTGGGGACTCCACTCCTCCTGGACAAAGCAGCAGTGCTCACCTGAGTACCAGGAGGATCTGCAGGACAAGGCATTCCTGCTTTTGCCCCAGTGGCTGGGTATTCCAGGGCTGCCTGCAGATAGCTGTGCCAGCCTCTGTTTGGTGGCATTCCTCTGTTTGGTGGCATTCCCAGTGAGTGACAGACGAGCCATCTGGCGTGACGCTGAAACTCAGCACAGCGTTCGCTGAGGAGGAGCCCACAGGGGTGACAAAGCACTTCCACACCTTCTGCTGCCGTGTGGGCTGGGCACTGGCACTGGGGTGTTCCTGGGCACTGGCACGGGGGTGTTCCTGGCTGTTCCTGGGCACATCAGCGTGAGGCAGCAAACCTGTCCTGGAGAGAAAGGACCCTGCCAGACCCTGCCCTCGTAGGGACGGACTGAGTGGCAGCAAGAAAAATGAGGGACTTTCAGGGGCAGCTGTGTTTTACTAACCCAGTCATAATGCCCCTAAAAATCCTTATTGTTCTTGCAATGGTCAACTGTGACCTCCGGCACGGGGAGGCCTGGAAGGAGAGCACGAGCGCTTGGGGCTGGGCGTGTATGGAAGGGCAGGTGGCGTGGGGAAGGATGGCTGGGGAGTGGGAGTGGGGATCCAGGCTGGGGAAGGTGTTTCTGTTGCAGTGGAAGTGAAAGGACGTGGTGTTGGGACCTGTGGTGTGGAGTGTGTGCTCTGTACGGCACGCAGGGCACGAGAACCGGAACGCAAAGACGGGGAAATGAAACAATCCCAGTGCTTTCCTCCCCACATCCCCAGCAGAGCGAAATGCAGAGGGATGCACAACCCAACCCTGGAGAAACAGCCCTTACCCAAACCATTCCCCTCTCCCAATTCCCTGGTTTACTCCTCTTTCAGCAAACTCTCATTGCAGGTCTCTGCTCACGCTCCTTTCTCTGAGCTTTATTCCTGTTCTCCTTTCCCAGCCCAGCCCAGCCCAGGATGCAGTAATTGCATGCAAAGAAGCAATTCGTTAAACAGAACCATAATATTTAATTATTTGCCATCTTTGTGCATTCTAACACTTCATTTGCATTTCTGAGAGCTTCTGTATGTTGAGTAAAAGTTTTTATTTTCATTGAACTCTGCAACAATGTTCAAAGCTTTTACCCTTTAATAACTCTACCTTGGGGTATGGATAGTCAAATCAGTCTGGCCCCACAACAGCAATGGGCCTTTCACTCTGTCTGCTTGGATTGCTCATTCATTACCTTTTTGAAAAGGCTTTGTTTATGGCTTTTATCATTTTTATCAATTAATTGATGTGTGTATCAATTAATTCTGCTTTATATGCCTATGCCAATAGATTAGATTAGAAGTGCATGCCTTTTTTTTCTTTTTTTTTTTTTTTTTTTTTTTTTTTTTTTTTTTTTTTTTTTTTTTTTTTTTTTTTTTTTTTTTTTTTTTTTTTTTCTTTTTTTTTAATTGGGTTTTATGGTTCTGGAGCGGGATTTACTCATGTGTTACTTGTCATTCTCAGGAGCATTTCAGGTGCTTTTCCTAAAGCTGAATTCTCTGTAAAGGAGAAGTGACTAGAAACTGGCTTAACTTTGTTAAGGCACAGTGACACACTGAGGCTGCTCCACTTAAGGTATGGTATGAACCAGGAGCTGTGGAATGTGTTCACATGGATCATCCTGCCTGTGGAATGAGTGGCCACATGGATCATCCTGCTGCAGCTGCTGTGTAAGCAAGGCCTAAAAGACAATCCTCGCCCTTGTGACTGTGTGGCAGATAAGACAGACAATGGGCACGAGGAAGACCCCCAGCTATCAGGGAAGGATGGATACTGTTCAACCAGCCGGGAACAAAGAAACCTGGGCTGCTCAAGGCCCTGCAGGACTGTCCAGGAGTGTCCTTCCCTGCCTGCTGCTTCCAGGAACGTGACACTTTGGAACTGTTTGTGTCAGGGCTCCCTGCTTTGACACCTTTGATTTCTGAGACTGCCTCATTTCAGGAAACCCCAGAGCTCCTCTCCACAAGGATTTCTGCATCCAGCGGCTCTCATGTCTTCACTGGATACTGAAATGAGATGGAAGGGCTTGAATGTTTCCTTGGCAAGACGGGTGGATGGAATTAGTTTAATCTGTTCCGATTTTGGTTCTACCAAGTCAACTGGACCCAATCACCTCCTCTGCTAAAAGGCTGCAGAGCAACAACCCACTGGAATATTCCTTGTGCTGAAAACAGGAAGATCTGGAACGAGGGTTTGTAACTTTTTTGGATGAGTTTCTATGTTACGATTTTTACCTTTAGTATCACCACTTTAAATAAGAATATTTATATGTTGAAATAAATGCCTTTTTTTTTTTTTTTTTTGCCCTGAAATACTGGAATATGCCTCCACAGCTTCTTCCTACCTCAGCTCTGCCCCTGTGAAGAGAACCCACTTGTGGATTTCAAAGTCAGAAGGACAAGCTGGAACCTCTAAGAGAGGATGTGCACAGAGCAATTCCTGCAATTCCTCCTGCAGCCAGGGCCCTGATGAGCGGATCTTTTTCTTACCTGCTCCAGGAACTCCTGTATAAATGTCTGACAAGCTCTTCCAGGGCTTTATAACTTTGTGTCTCGTTCCTTAAGGCAAGCTGCACGTTGCCTGCTTATCCCGTTCCGTCTTGTACGGCCCCTGTGGATGGAAGCCCTTCCTGTGTGTGACTGCACGTGGTGGAGGGGAGAGCACGGGGGGTTGGTGCTATTTTTGTCTGATGTGTTCCCAAAGCAGCTCTCCCAGTTGCCACACTGCCTGTCAGGGTGGAGGGCTGGTGCAGCAGAGGTCTGTAGGGACACTTGGTACAGGGCCAGGGGGGTCACATGCAGGATCCTTGTGCACATCCTGCAGTGGGATCCAGCCCTGCTGGTCCCTCTTTCTTTCAGGACACTCTCAGCAGACCCCTGAATCCATTTCTCGGTGCCCAGGCCAGGCCACCAAGACTTCCAAGAACAGATCTGACTGGTTTTAGTTTTCTTTCTTTTTAAGGTTCAGCGTCACTGAGCACCTCCAATTTAGCTTGAAAAATAAAATACCTAAAATAAAGGTGTTTGTTTGAAAAGCACGTGCAGGTAATCATGGAGTTTTTTCAAGCTCAGCCTCAGGTGATGCCATCAGCTTCTACTGCAGTTAAGCACTGCCCCAGACTTCCTTCAAGCTGCCATTCCCAGTCTGTGCAAAGCAGTATGAACATTAAAACAGGCCCTGCTGAAATAAAACACCCTGGTAGTACTTGCATGAACACACAGTTTCCCTGAAAAACAGGTAACAAGCACATGAACTACACCTGAGCCACCATCTGAGCTGCCTTTCACATCTGTGGAAGGTGCAGAGCATCCAGATTAGCAATAGTGTTACCCCAGCCCACAGAAAACAGACCCGAGGCAGCAAAGAGCAGAGAGTGCAGGGTGAGATCCCAAAGGGGAAAAGAAATAAGAAATTAAATTTCTCTTCAAGCACAAGCGATTCTGTTGATGCCTTGCAGGCTGCAAGGAGGCCCTCCCTGCAGGGGACACTGGCTGAACTGCCCTGCACTATTATCAGCTGCTTTCAGGGCACAGCTCCTGTCCAGAGCACTTTAATGTGGTGCATTCAATCAAACAGAAATTGTATGCCAGCCACATGCATGGAATAAAACAAGTGCAGGAAATACATTTTGCAGGCAAATTTGTTGATTTCTTTTTCTGAAGCCCTGTGGTACCTTGCTGTAGTTTCTGATAAATAGCTGCTTTCAGTGAGGAAATATAGTTATTTAGGCAAACTTTTATCATAATTTATACCACTGATTTTCAGTGAGACTGAAGAAATTCAAGCTCTCAAGGAACCTCTAGCTTTAACAGGTCCTTACTGGGCTTTGTCTTTTTAATCAGCCCAGAACTGGCCACATTTAACTAAAATACATTTGCAGGTGTTGATGGAAAAAAACCTGCTCCTTCAGTGGGATTGCTGGGCCAGCCTTCACATGAGCTGGACCCTGTTCTGGTGCCCAGTTTGTATTGCCTGGGGTTCAAGGGTTGATATTTGGTACTTTTTAAAGAGGAGAACCAAAACAGCCTCCCAGCAAAGTGAGACTTCCCTGGGCCTCAAGTTCAGCACCCAAACTCATCAAACTCCTTAAACTTCCTGTGACTTTTGCTCAGCATTCTTAAAGGAAAAACTAAAGACTCAGTGGTTCCTACAGCCTACCTGCAAATACACTCCTAGTTCCACTGCTACTGATTCATTCACTTCTCCCACAGCAGACTGACACCCTAATTAGTGCCAGCATATCCAAGGGGCATTTTCAATCATCACAGAATAAAGGGGAACAGAAAAGGACCAGTGATCCAGTAGGGCCCAGTGCCATTGCACAGGACAGGTTTTGCCCACCAGTCTGTTGGCACAACAGAGGTCCCACAGTCCCCACATCCCAGCTACAGAATATTCTGATTTTTATGCCTGGCATCACAGATCTCGTGCTCTGTGTAGTACCCAGGCTTTTGCTCCATGACGGATGAGAGGCAAATCTACGGATCCCAGCGTGTGGACTTCAAAGTAGTTACAGCTTGTGCTTAATTGGGGAAAGGAAGCCAAAGGAAATCATGTGCATTGGAGTCAAATACCATTTTTAGGAGTGGGAACTGCGTGTGTATTTCAACAGTGATTAAAATAGCCAGGGATGAAGGCACACTCTTGATTAATGGTCTCTCTGTGAGCTGAGGACACGTCCTCCAGAGTCTGGCCCTCCTGAGAGACACCCATGACGTGCCTTTGGGCTGAGCACAGTCTAAAGGCACGAGCAGGAACTGGTTGATTGGGTTTTATCGTCCTTCTTGGTGTGGATCAGTTCGGTCAGGTGGCTTGAATGATTATCTCCTCCTTCTGAAGCGTGTGCTGTGTGTAAGTAGCTCTAACCCAACCTGGTCCAGGCAGCAGTGGTGCATCCCTGCAGCCGGTGTTCCCATGGAAGGTGCTTCCCTGAGCTCTCCCTGGCACGCTGGGCTGGTGCTGCAGTTGGAACAAGACCAACCAAATGATTACTTTAAAGCCACTCATTTTTTCTGACGTTTTTCTCGTTCACATTTTGTGACTCTGCTGCTTCCTAAACCCCTGCACGTCCCTCTGGGCACTGGCAGCTAAACCACTGAGCAGTGGCTTTCTCCCGATGGAGAATCCTGTGGGACACATGGAGGTGAGGTGGGAGGCCCTGACTCTATCCTGTCCCCATTACAGGACCAGCTCAGCCCCATTTAGCAATCCCTCCCAGCCATTCTCAGTGGGTACGTCAGCAGGGCTCCAGCTCCCTGATTATTTCATGCCAGAGGGGACGCTCCCCAGGGCCCCCAGAGCTCCAGGAGCAGCTGTGAGCGGGCTCTGAGGGTTCTGGGGAGGGCTGACCCCCACACAGAAGGTGAGCTGGGGGCTGCTCCACACTCCACCCCCTCTCCCTGTGTGGCAAAAAGCACAGGCTTAACCTCTGCGTGCCTCCCACCCCGGTGAACCAGAGATAGGAAACTCTGTCTGTCTCAGTGGGTTTCTGCAGCACTTAATTGATTTGTGCTGCTGAACACCCCGCAGTAAATGAGTCCAAGGTGTTAAAGGAGGATGCGTTAGTGGGAAAGCTCCAGCTGGAACACGGCTTAGATAGGAACCATGTGTGTGCTGGGACAGAGTGCACCCTCGCCTCGTTCCCACCCCGGCCCTGCACAGGGGGATTGATGCTTCACGGAAATGCTGGCTTGTTTTCAGGCCTCTGGCTTGTCCTGGAGCATCCCCGTGGCCTGAGTGTCCGGTGGGATTTGCTGCTGCAGGAAGGAGCCCCGAGTGGCACCAAGGAATGCCCCGTTCCAGCCCCGTGCTGACAACACTGATTGGCACATTAAGGGTCTCTTTTCCTGCACGGAGACAACAGTATAAGGCATTGCTGTGAGAACACTTGAAAAAGACACAAACGAGGAGCTTCTGGGATTTCCTCAGGTTTTTCCAGCTGCAGAGCAGGGTGAAAACTGTCAGCCACAAAAATATTACAGTTTATGCTGTTAAACAAATCATCATTTGTCAACAGGTAGCTGAATTATGTCCAATTCCGCTGGCAGAGGCAGAACTGATTCTGTTCCCAATGCTATTGTATAGTTAACAGCTGGCAGCAAACTGGCAGAGAAGGCTGTGCTGGGCTGATAAATAACCCAACAAGCCTCACAGCAGAAGTATCTCATGGAGCGACTGCAGCTCACGCTGGAATGTGTTGAACAAACGCTTGTTAACAATCTATGCACAGGCGGGGAACTGCTTGATGAAAAGGTACCAGAAAAATGTTATTTAAGACACAGATTTCCTAGGGGTATCAAAAGACCAAACCAGGTTTTAGGCCCAAGAGCACCAAACACAGCAGCAAAGCAGCAAATGTTGGCATTTCTTGCTCGCTGAAACTGAGTCTGGTAATAATGAGGGAAATGTCCCGACCAGTTTGAAGATACGAAAGGCAAGCCAAAAAACCAACGGAGAGAAATATTTCTGTGTTTGTTTCACAGCCCCCAAATTCTGCTGGACAATTTTCCACTCTTCCAGATGTTTTCTGAGGGAGAGAGACATGCTCTGATTTCAAATGCTGTGTTGCTTCTAAGCTGATGAGGCCACACTGTGCCACCTGGGACAAGTGGAAATGCCCCGTCACGAGATGCTGATCAGGCTGGAGCCCCTCATTCTGTACTTAACACTGCTCTGGTTTTGTCTCTGCTTTGCAGACATTTTATTTTTATCGTGGGTAAAGAGCAGCAATGTGTGTGTCTCTGTGAGAGAACGAGCACAGGGCTACAAGCTTCATCTCAGTGTAAATAATATTTTGGCAAGAAACCTGCAGGAGATTAAATTAGGGGCCTAACGACTGAATATTAAACATTTCAAACTTTGAGTTCCTTTAAATAAGCAGCTACAAAACAAGGAAGAGTCTGACAAAATTAGCAGGTCCAAAGCACTAGAGGAATCCACTAAGGGTCACTTGTTTACTGATGCAAATTTAAAAGGCCGTTTTTTATTATTTTTATTAGTAGCTGTGTATGTCAACATGCTATTTCCTCAATGCATTTTGAGTCCAGATTAGCTGAAGTTTTAGGTGTTGGCAGACTTGCTACAATAGAAGGGAAATGCCAATGGAATAACTTTAAACATGATCCAATCCCTGATGATTCACTGGATGTGTTAAAATTTCCTTTGAGACCATGTAAGTAATGCAGGGACTGGAGTGCAGAGTGCCTGTGACTCAGCTCTCTGCGAGGCAGCGGGAGGATGTCAGAATTACTCACTGGGACAGGAGGAATCTCATTTATCTATTTATAGGCAAGGCTGAGATGAGCTTGTACCATTAAAGAGCTGAGTTTGCCAGTTCCCATAGGGGAGGAGGAAGGAAGGACTTCACTTTAGCTGTTGAAATAAAAGCCTCCTTTCCCCCCCCCTCCCCATTTCCAGAGCTGATGACTGGCCAGTTATGTTTTCCCTGCTTGCACAGGCAGTGCAGGGCTCCTCCTCCTCGTTAGGGGCCAGTGCCCACTTTGCCAAAATCCTGTCTGCTGCACGTTTCTAGGAACACAGTGCTCTGGATTACTGATCCAGTCTCCCACTATCACAACCAATTACATCACATCATGCTTTTTGGCAGGCTATTCCAGCACTTCATTTTAAATTTTCAGCCTTAATATCATTTGTTCCTGTGCCAGCATCGTAATTCGGTTTAAACAATTCTCTTTTTCCTCTGATCTTTACCTATCAGATGTATTTACTGAAAACAATCCTATCTGCTCTCGTCTTTGTTTTGAGAAGCTAAACAAATGAAGCTCTTCTAGTCTCCTCTTGTTCTAAACCCTCTGATCATCCTCAGTGCCCTTCTCTGTACCTGCTAATCTTCCTTGAACATGAGTGAACCTGTATCTTCTAGGACTGTGTTTGCCTTTCCATTATCAGATCGGTGGCTCACAGTTATCCCTCCAAGCAAGTAATTCTCTGCATGTTTTTTTTTCCACCACCCTGCTTTTGTCATTCTCAAGTGAGTAATGTGATATTCTAGTTATTAATTTTTAACTGCAGGTCTTTACGCTTTGTCTAATCTATCTCAAAGTCTGTCATTCGGTTGATGTTCTGATCCTTCTCTGTGTCAGCAAAGCCTGTGTCCTCAGCAAATCCTACAGCTGTGCCAGAGTCATTTACAGAACGAGTAAGACCTGCTCAGGACTGACCCCTGAGGAGTTCAGCTTTCTAACTGCCCCTGTCCTGCATTTCTCCTTCCCACAGAGCTCCCCGTCCTTTGCTCCAGCAGTTCTGCATTTGCCATCTGCACTAATCCCCATCTTCTCAACTTCAACTCGTAATTTCCCATGTGGTGTAATATCAGATTCTTGACTCAAGTCTGGATAGAGTAAAATCACCTGTATTTCATTTGTCTAGGAAAGAAAAAAATCAGT